GACCTTGGCCACAGCTGCTCGTCGCATGACGCTTGTGCCCGTCCCTACAAGCGAGGGTGGGGAGGGGGCGGGCAGAAGATCTTTTGTTATCAGTCTCAGACGATCTGCATAGGAAAACAGTGACAAGCCTCCCCCCCCCCCTCCTCTTTTTCCATCAGTCCACGCAGAGCCGGGTAATAATGTAATGGGTCGAAACATTTGAGTTTACTTGCATAATATTCTATGATTTTGCTAGCTTGCGCTTGCAAATAAGTTACTGACAAAAAAACTGCGCTTCCCTTCCCTGCCCGTCGCGTTGATCATCACGATTCCTGTGAGTATCGTTTGACGTAAGACACGACCCGAGCTGCTTTGGCACAATTTCGTCGTCGCGTCTAGAATAATGCATTATATAACGCGTGAACGGCTCTCCGACCCCCGAACCCCCCTTGTCCCGCTGATAGATGTCCCATTTCGTGGGAGAACGAAAGCCTTACGTCAGCGCAGTCTGGCCCTCCCCGACGACCCCCTAGAGGGCATACCAGCGAAAACCACAGAGGTTCGTAAAATACCAAAGTCACGTATTTTGACGTCTTTTAGATTCCTGCGCACAATCCACGGCAGATGGGGGATAAAGTTTTGCACAATTTGGCCTATTTAGAAAAAAAATGCAAAATACCATCAAAGTTGAAAAATCGTAGGCTACTCCAGTCAGCGAAAGTTGATGTAAAATATCATAAAGACCACGGTAAGTCAATATAAAGGTACACATCTTGTGGTATGACCGAGGGTATGGCGTACCCAGCCAAGTTTGGTCCGTCCTAGGCCGCCACTAGTAGTTTTTCTAGAACATTCGAAAGCGATTCGTCGCCCTTATCTCAAGTGTCCCGTTAGATTGGCAGCGCGTGTTTATGCGTGGCGGGTTCAGCAGGCCAGCAGAGGCATCCCCTGGGCCACATCTAACCACTGCATCTACCGGCACACAATAAACAACCGAAAAACAGCGAGCCTCCTGCATTGCATTCCTCAAGTTGTTTACCTCCTTCGGAAATCACACGATCTCTCACAGCCGCGTTGCTTTCGCGGAACCCTCGCCGGCTCTGCTCTGGGGTGCATGGACCGGGCAGGAGGCATCGACGTCACAGTGCAGGGCGGGGCGGGGCGGGGCGAGGCGAGGCGGGGTGAGGAGGACGATGACCCAAATGGGGGCATGGAGCCCCCGGGAAAGAGTGACGCCAACGCGACCCCAACTCCAACCTGTTGTCCAACTGCCTGCACCTCAATCGGCTGCAAGGGTGACGTCAGGACACCAGGGCCTCCTGCATCTCCGTCCCACACCGCTCTGACCGCTCGGCTCCTCGCCGTCCACCTACGTCCACCCCACCTTGGTCCACCCCCCCCTTCCCTCCCCCGCCACACCCCACCCCGCCCCACCCCGCCCCGCCAGCACGTGCGACCGCTACACGTCGTGGCACAGGGGATGCTAGAGCGTGGAATTGAATCGAAATCGTCTATCCGAAATGAAATATGGTGTAGGAAACAACACTTCCTCCAATTCAAATCGGAAAAGATTCCCCTGCTCTCTTCCATAATGGAAACCCTGTCGCAGAGAAGAAGCTCCGAAAGGAGATCGCAGACGCCCCGAGAGATCTTGCCCACCGCGCCACGGCTGCTGCTGCCTACTTTTCAATTCGGACCTGGTCTGGCCAGACTCGTCTGAATACTTGCTCCACAGACTTACGCTTTGGAAAGTCGTGAAATTCAAAGTCCAGTCGGGAAGAGGTTCTTTTGGAGAGCGGGGTGGCTCCGAGACGCTGCCTCAGGCTCACCGTCAGCTATCCTTCTACCGGCCGTACCGGGTGAAACTGTGTATAGTGTATTTCGACTAACGGAGGAAGAAGAACAGCGGGTAGAACATAAGCGTTACCGATTGGTCTAGAGCTTCCCGCCTCTACATCACGCCGGTAGTGGGGGTAGGCGCTCGGCCAATCAGGAACCTTTATGTTCTACCCGCTATTCTTATTCCTCCGTTAGTCGAAATACACTATACGCAGCAGTGTTGCGGGATTGCATACTCAATATGGCCGCAGGGGCCATGGCCCCTTACTGGTGTAAAGAGTAGGCAAATCCCCAACACTGCTGCGCTTTCTCACGTTACACCCCAAACACAACTTGCGCCGCGACTACTTGAGGCTCTTCCTCAAAGCTACATTTTGCACCGCGCTGGTCGGGGGCCACTTTCCAAAGCTAGCAAATGGGGCCTCTGACGACGGCCGCCCAAAAGTGTACAACTTGCACCAGGCTATCCTGGTCAGGCCACCATTGGTCACTATTTGGGTGGGCGGTTCACATTCTCTGACAACACCCAGCAGCCGACAATACACAATGAAGAAACAGAGTCGTGCCAACACGAAAACATAGCCAAGTTTACAGTGTACGGTACCTCCGAGTAATGAGTAATGATGGTTCATCCGCCCGCCGGACACGGTCATGGGCTAGGTGGTCCCCTCCTTTTGATCATTTTGCTCATCACAAACACCATGACAATCGAACAGTCACAACATATAACACAAAATGCACTCCGACACCTCGCGACAACTTTGCCCGCCCCGGCTATGCACTGCAACTGACCGCTCGCGCAGCTCGCTCGGCAGAGCCACTTGCAGTCCCTCTCTCTCATTCGGTGAGAGCCAATCAGCTGCCTGCGTGGCGCTCTTTCTCTCTCGCGCGCTCACAGCGCACACTCCGGCAGCCCGGCCCGGAGCGGCTGCATCCGAAAATGTCACCGGCCAGCGCGCGAGCCAGCTGGCTTAGCGGGTTCGAGTAATCACGTGAAATCTTCAGAGTCCGTTAGGAAGTCTCCAAGGACTTTTTGTCAATATTTTTCATGAGTGTTCCTCCATGAAACCCCACAATTTTTTCTAACTGGGAGAGGGGGTTAGCCGAAACCCACTAGATCCACACCGGTCAAATTAGGGATATTCCGGTAAATGCAGAAAAATGCGGGGAAGAAGAAAACGGAAATCGCTATGCTTAAACATGGTGACTGCCGTTTTCTTGTTCACTGCATTTTTCCGCATTTCAGCTTTACCGGAATGCTTTATTGCCGTGTGTTGTGATGTGTGATGTGATAGCGTCATGAAACTGCGTAGCGGTCGATGGCGGTTGTACGTAAGGGCAATAATCAAACCATAATATGACCACCATCTATAGAATAAATATATACAGGTGTAAGTACCAGGACCAGGTCAGATGCAGATGCTCGACCGGCCCCCGCTCCGCTCCAGCCACCGCACCCCCGCCCCCGCCGCGCCGCGGAAGCGAGTCTGCTGCGACGCGATTTGGAATAAGGCGGTCGGTGGGTCCTTCCCTTCTCTTTCCGAGAAAGGGGACCGCGGCCCCGGCGAACGCGGCCGGCTCATTCTGCATGGCAGGCCGCTGCCGCTGTGAGCCGCTACGATTTCTACCGCTCGGGTCAAGACCAGGTCACCAGGCTGGTTCCGATCCGAGCGGATATTGGGCCAATATAGGTCCGTTAGCGCAGGGAAGTAAACCTCAGAACCCGATTTGGACTCAGCCCAAGAGGACTCCTCTGCAACAAAAACTCAATGCAATGTCTAATTTTGAGCTAGAGAAGAAATGGGAAGAAATGCTCTCAGAGTGGCATATCCCATAGAGTTATAGGCTTATAGATTCCGTAAAGTACCCTGACACTAATTTAATGAATCACGTCAATTTTTAAATTGTTTTGGCATCAACTTTTGTGAGATTTTTAATCCTTTCCACTTAATGTTATTCTTCCTCTTAGACTCATCTGGAACTGGCACGGGGCACCCCGCACCTCCACCCCTCCCGGCGCCCGCCAAAGCGCTCGGGGCGCGCGCGGCGTCGCGCCTTGCGCTGCCCCGCTTACATGCCAATCGGGTTGACGATCGTAAAGGGATTGCCGCCACGATCCAGCGGGCGCGTGCGCCCCGGCGCGCCCCTTGGACGCAGCGCCAGCGCGCCCCTTGGACGCAGCGCCAGCGCGCCCCTTGGACGCAGCGCCAGCGCGCCCCACATTCGACAAAGTCAACAACCGGCGGTGCGCGGAGGCGCTGCCGACAGCGTGGCCGTGTGGCACGCACACAACGGAGTTGTTGTTTACCAGCGAGATACGGAAGGAAAAACTGCGGCGCCACACCGGGAGCCTGCGTAACCTTGGCCTCGGCGGGGCTGCGCCTCTGGGCTGCGCTGCGCTGGGCTCCTCGGCCGAGGGCCGGGCCTCCCGTTCGCTCACGGGGAGTGGTGCGCGTGCTGCGGGGCGCCCCGCGCCCCACCACCGCCATATGCGGACGTGCCGCGGGCGTGAGGCACCGCCAGGGCGCCGCCATGGCACCGCGACGCAGCGCTGGGCGGCGCACGCGGGGAAGACCACGCGGCGCCCGCACGCCATGCCACCGCCACCACGCGCCCCGCTCAGGGGCTCGTCGCGGGCTCCCGGC